AAAAAAACTCGTTTTATTGGGATCAATTATCCATTTGGTAGCAAACTTGCAAAAACTGCTTGTGTAAAGTTAAAAGTCAAAATGCTAAACAATAATAATAAATTATTATGAAGCTTAATTTTTGATTTATACTTTAGATAGGAATTTTGTATAAAATTTTGTAATTTTCAATACCTGACAAATTAAATCCCAAAAAATGGCATGATCGAAATTCATTTGTGATGCTATACTTTCGTGCATTCGGGATTTCGACCATTCGGGATGCCGTTCATTTTGGATTTCGTTAGTTCAGAATGTCGTTCATTCAGGAAGCTGTTATTTCGGGATTTCGATCTTATGGGATGCCATTCTTTGGGATTTCGTTTATCGGACTTATGAAAGTTTAGGATTATGTTCTTCAGAATTTAGTACCAGCATAAAATTGTCTAATATACTTTAATCTGAATTTTTGCTCTCTTTTGATTTATTTTTAGATGATATGCTCTAAATAACGCAACAGGTGTTGTATTTAAATTCCAAATGGCGAAGCGATGTCTTAATACTTTAAGAATTTTAAGAAATATTATTAATCAATTACATACATTATTGACTTTAAAAATACTCACGGATAAATTTTGCATTTTTTTAATGGAAGAGCTTTCTCTTCAAAAATCCTTTATTAAAAGCGCCAAAGCATTACTCGAGATTTAGGCATGATATTGGGCTTCGATGTAAGATGTTGAATACCCATATAATGAAATATTTCGGAAACTAAACCGAATAAAACCGTTTAGGCTACGAATAAATCCTTCTTAAAACTGAATCGAAAATAAGATTTGACTCAAAGTCGAATCATACTCATGACATCTAAATTCTTTTAGTAATTAGCAATAAAATATAAAATTAGAAAAAAGAGAATATATCATTTTTCGAATTTAATTTCATACATGAATATTTTTTTCTTACATAATGCCTTTTGCTGCACATTTTGTCGATCACTATATGTTGATTATGCCATAGCGATAGTGTGTACATGTACATGTATCATGAATGAGAAAGCCCACCGCTATTTTATACGTATGTATTTGATATATTTGATTCCTATATATGTATACATGTATGTAGATTTATTATGCGCACCAAATACATGTATTATCGTTATGCGCATAATATTTGATTATGCCTCCCCAAGTGCACACCCTTGGGACATATGTGAGCATTTGGAGAAGTTGTGCATTTATATAAAAACTGTTTTACAAGTGTTATTAAAGGTTGTGACCGAGAAATAGGATGCATAGAAGGAGGGTTTGAATTTGGTGAGTGTGCACTTAGGGGAAAACGCGCTTGTAGAATTTTGACGCATAATTAATAAATAATTGTCTCGTATATTAATTAATAAATACAATACCCACAGAAAGTATCGCCTGATTTACGTGTGTAACCATTTTTAAAGGTGTCCACCTATACGCAACTTAACGAAAATGAAAAGGGGAAGATTTTGGCGTACATGGATACCACAAATGCCGCTCAAATCGCAAAAATACTCGGACGCAACCCTACAACGGTATGCCGCTTTATAAACAAATATAAACGAACTGGAAAAAGTGAAAACTTACCACGTTAAGGAAGACCACCAGCCTTAAATAACCACAAAAGGGATTTACTTATACGTGAAGCTAGCGAAAAACGACGTGCACTACTACACGAGATAGTCAACAATTTAGGCCTCACTTGTAGTTAGTTTATCAACTGCCGCAAATGTATTGCACAACTCCGGACTTAACTCACGTATCGCAGCAAAGAAACCCTATATATCTGCAAATACTTGTGTTAAATGGTGTGAAGAAAAGAAAAATAAATCAGCTTATGATTGGTTGAAAATAATTTTCTCTGATGAAGCCAGTGTGGCAATTGGAAAGCAGTCACAGCAACCAAGAGTTTGGCGGCATCCTGGAGAAAAGTTTAACACTAACTGTTTGGCGCCTACCTTTAAAAGTGGATGAAAATCTGCAATGTTTTGGGGATGTTTCGCGGGAAAATTAAAAGGACCATTAATTTTTCGTGATGAATATAAAAAAAGGCGAAAAAATAACTGTAAATGCTTACCTCGAAATCTTAAAAACTCAATTGCTTCCATTCCAGAACACAATTAGGGAATTAACTGGAAGTTACGCAATCTTTCAACATGACAATGCGCCGATACATACTGCGGGAAAAATTAAAGATTGGCTAACGGAAAATAAAGTCGCAATTATTAATTGGCCAGCGAATTTTCCAGACCTGAATTCAACAGAGAACATTTGGAAGATATTAAAGAACAATATTCAAAAAAATGGGAACTTTCCGACGGCTGTGGACGAACTTAAGATTACACTGAAGATGGAGTGGGAAAAACTTGATGTGGCCATTTTAGAACGAGTTATTGCATCAATGCCACGAAGAATTAATGCAGTATTGGAATCAAATGGAGGGGGCCGATTAAATATTTTATATTTTATTTGGTGTATAAATTGATGAAAATCAAATAAATTGCATCGGGCGATACTTTCTGTGGGTATTGTACATAGTACTTTACTTCTCTTTTAACATGAAATCATACTTCATTTATTGGTGTATATTTAATACTATTTTGCTTTAAATTTTCGCTGTTAGAAATCTCAATCCATTTTCCTCCCAAGTTTTTACAATTATTAACATTGTTTACTATATTGGGTTCCAATGAGCAAAAAAGACATCATTAGATATGAGACATAGAAATCACTAAAAATGTACATTGCTATAATTTATTAAAAACCCAAATTTAAACATCAGCCCATCATATGCATAAAATTTATGTGCATAATCATATAAACTTTTTCATAGCACTACATGTATAAAGAAAAATGGCATGACATATGTCGTATCAGATTTACAATTTCAAAGGTTGCGGTGTTTTTTTCACTTTTTCCGCTCTTTTTTGTTGGCAACACGCAAAGAAATAAGTATTTTTCGAACGCAAGGTACTGTACTTTACGCGAATAAATTTTTAAAGCTAATATATTTAGAACAGTTTTTAGACAACGCATAATTACTAGAGTAGCTTTAGTCATCAATAACTCTCAATAATTGATAAATACAAATTCATTGTAAAAAGAAATACAACATTTTTCAGTTACTTCGTTCACGAAAATTCTATCAATAATTTTTCTTTTTGTATAATGACAAACAATATTAATTTTGCTGAGTCCAAACGTATCATTTCTGAATTTTCATACAATTTTGATCGTGGTCTCCTATTTTAGGCACTGTTGACTATTCTTAAACACGGAGAATATTAAACAAAATGAAAATTCAAAATCTTTGGATAAACTGAAATCATATTTAAGTCTTTTGTGGTCAACTCAAAGTTCGCTATTTCGAATGTTAAAATTGAATACGTGATCTAAAAGATGATCGTAAACGGCGAAAATAAAACATGATGTTTATTTCCGTTATTTTAATAGTTACATTTAATAACATGCAACGCTCCACTAATGTCTTCCATTTTAAAACTCTTAAAAGATTATAGCCGGCAATTCATTAGCTAATATCCAGCTTAAATATGTTTTATTTATTATATAACTAGCAGGTAAAGCTAGCGTTATTATTATTTATCAGAGAAATCTAACATGTTGAATATTGGAACGAGCATGTTTTCCTTATTGTAAAGTTAAAAAGACATGATTATAGATGTTAAATACATGCATTAAATGTTGAATTGCATATACAGTCATACTTCTATATTATTCACGATTTCTTGGCTTTGACTCACAATCCAGTCATACCTCTATATATTACTAAAATACAACTTTTAATTTAGTACGGACCCGCAACCTGATAAATAAATTCACTTGCGGCTACAAAAGTTATGTGAAATTCTAATTTACACGGGATTCGCATATGCATATAAGATTTTAGTCGCGAAATTTTGCCATTCTCAAGTCAACTTTAGACACTGCTATAATAGTTCGGCTAAAAATAGTTTAGAATAATTTAGAAATTTAGGACGAAATCAAAAACGAATATAGAGAGATTTTCTCTTATGACCGAAATATGTTATAACTTAATAGAATGCAGGCTAAGAATAGCCCAATATCACTATTACATGTATTACTCTTATTTGTATGTGTATCACTCATGCAATGCAATGTAAGATGATGTTATGCCGATTTATACTTAGTTCATGTAATTGCACACCCGTACTTTGCGTCTAAAAAGTATATGTGCCAGGTAACAAAAGACCAGTATTTTAAAAGAAGATAACAATTAAGTATCAAAAATATTTATTATAAAAGAAAGCATTACAGATTTAATTGGAAATTCTCGAATCTGATAATGTTCTTATGTAATATAATAGAATCAAATTTTTCCTGAAATGTAATAATTATGAAGCAGCAAAAAATTGATATACTTTCCGAATAAAAATAACTAAGACAGCAAACAATGGCTGCTGAAATCTTTTTACAGAGAATGACGTATGTGCAATGCAATACAAATTGGATTACGCAACTTTTCCATGGAAAATTTATAATCATTATAATTCTAAATTGATCATTGTATTGGATTCTCCATAAGTGGACGATTTTCTTTGTTTAAAATTATATCATTAAGAAAACAACATTATACAAAAAATCGAATTGATATGACTTAATTTAAAACAACGTTATTACGTATATTAATTGATGGGTGTAACTCGGCAACAAACGACACTATCTGACAGAACCAGTTCCCAATGGTGAATACAAAGTGTATAATGGAACCAGTCCGGTCTTACCATCATAAAATATTTTACTATCATAACAGAAAATACAGTAAGGTATAAATATATTTTATATTTGGATCCATTCGTAACACTTATATAAGAATATACAAATTGAATTTTGCTTCTAAAATAAACATAGAAACCTTTGTGTTTTTAAACTACGAATTTGTATAAATATGGCAGTTTTCTGTTATTTCGAAATTTGGTTGTGTTAAGATTTCCCATTAATACTTATAATAAAATGTCTCAAAAAATGAAAGTAAATTCTACAAATAAAAAAACCCTTGTTTCTCTTAAAGTAAAGTTACCCTTTCCCCCCGAAATTACTCCATTAAATTTGATTGAAAAATCAATAACCAAACTTAAAGTTTCTGGAAAAACCAGTCGTGTCCCAAATTCATTTATATGCTATCGTATGACTTTCTGTAAGGTTCTTCAATCTTTAAGATACCCTGTTATCACACAACCACAACTTTCGACAATGATCAAAGAATCCTGGTTAGGAGAACCTGAACATGTACGAATGGAGTATCAAAGAATTTCATCAGAAGCTAGCAATATTTATAAGCAAATGTGTATTGATCATAAATTACTTGTGCAGGAACAAAAAAATAAGTTTAAAAATGTTCCGGAAGGTTCTCCAATTATAATAAGCACGGATAATAGTTCTGGTTCAAGTTCGTCGAGTTCTTCCGAAACTAGAAATCTCGACAACTTATTTCCGATTTTTCATTCACAAACACTTGCTGAAAGTGAATCACTACTTATGGATACCGAACCATCCCCACATTCTCATTTAAATATTTATGAACCGGATGAGGAAGTATATTCTCAAAATCATTTACAAAACATTCCAAACAACACTCGACCAAATGTGCAATCTATGGGAATATCACCATCATTTCCAGCGGGGTTCGTTGATCCAAGCTTGCTAAACTACAATCCGAATGCTTTCAATAAGTTTCCATCTTTATCAAGCTCATGCGAAGGATGCAATGAAAAAATTGAAGCTCTAACTCAACGTGTAGAAGATCTAGAGAAAAAATTGACCGAACTTGCAAATCAATTTGATCAAAACTAAAGTTAATTCCCCAATTAGATAAATTTATTTTGCCATTATATTAATTATTATATATGATTTATCCAAATATTGTATGTTATATTATCATAATTACTTAACTCTGAAAAATTAAGATAAATATATATGGTTTTGTTTATATGATTCATACAAAAGTATTATCATTTTATCACAAAAACTATTTAAGTATAATACATATTTTTATGTATTGCAAATTGATAATTTATTATTTTCATATTTAGATATATGCACAATTCTTATAAATATTATTATTGTTTTATTCCTATTTTAAGCATAATATATATTTTGTATGTTTCATTTTTGTATATGATTTTACGATTCGCTATATGAATTAAAGGAATATATTTCTGGCAATTGTATCTTTACAATTTTTACAAATATAATTCAATTTTTCAAGATTTATTTTAATTGATGCAGTCGTATTTCAAAAATTCATTGTTTGTGAAATTCAATTGCTGACTTATTAAGCATATATCTGCTGGGAATTCTGATAGATATGTTATTATTCTAACTTAATAATATAGTGTTTTATTCAGAAATCATAAATTAAGCATTATTTTCCATTTCTACAAGGGAATTGACGGGTATGGTACACTTTTTAAACCTATAAACAGCTGATATATGTCTCATAGTTTAATTCAATTTCTGTAATATCTCTTTTAATAATTCAAATTCCAATTCAGCTTTTTTGATATTGATACTATTATAAAGATCAATTCATAATAACATTCATTACTAATATTTTAGAAATCATTGCTTTTATCAATATATAATAAAATTCTTGGGCTGCAAGTATATTGAAATGACTGATAAATATCTTATAAAGATGATTTAAAGAACTATTTTTTTATTATATCTAAATAATTTTCATTATATCTGTGTATTTACTTGGCTTATTAAATTTAAATAATATAAGATAATACAATATAATCTTTTTATAGATGATAAATTTTTTAAATTTACAATTTTTATTAATAACTTAAAATATAAATATATTATTATTATATATATACAAAGTCAAAATGCAAATTATTTTTTTACTGATGATATTATCTTATTTTTTGCAAATATAAAGTTTATATTTTAAAATATAATTATTATAAATATTAAAGATTATTTATATATATTATTTAGAAAATTTATTAAATCTATATAATTACATATGATATAAATCTAATTTAGATTAGTAGATTACAAATTATATAATGTATATAAATATATAATCTATAATATATAAAAAGTTCTAGTCTAGTTATATAATTATATAATATAAAAGAAAAAAAACTAGTTACATAATTATAGAATATAAAAAAAGATAACTAGCTATATAATTATATAATACAAAAAAAAAGATTAGTTATACAATCACAAAAAAAATTAATAATTATATATATAAGTCTAATTATTATTTTGGTTTGAAAAACTATTTATTTTTACTATTTTATTCTTATTATTAATTATATTAAATAAATAATAATATATAATAAAATTTACATGTATTGATAAAATATAATCAGATCTTTCTATAGTTATATTTTTTTATAATTATCTTTTTTGAATTTTCAGTTACTAATTAACTATAATTAAAAAAATTTCTATAGTTACACCTCTCTTTAACTATCTAATTTTGCTTTTTTAAGTGTGATAATTATAGAATGATCTGATTGTAGTTATAAGAAATGATTAATAATAAATCTAGATTAACTATAATAAAAGATTAATAATTTAGTATAATAATATTAATAATAAAATATAGTAATTATAATTAATAAAATATAATTTAATAATATATTATAAATAAAAAAGCATTTATAAATTAAATCTAAAATTATATTTAAAAATATAATAAATACTTTTATTATATTTGTATTATTATTATTTTCAATTATTTTATATTTTTTATAAGTTTTTCTATTAAAGTCTGAATAAATATAAATATTTTAATTATTTTCTAATAATTATATATTTTAAAATCAGTTTTTATAAATATTAACTAGAATTTTTCTTAAATATTTATTATTAATAGTTTTTCAAATTTAAAGAGATACTACTAAAGAATATATTAATAAGAAATTATATATTAATAAAAAATTTATAATAATATTTTAAAAATATTAGATTTGATAAATAATATTTTTATAACTTTTATATTTATATCTAAATCTTTATTTATAGTTAGCTTCTAGATTAAATTTATAAACTTTTTAAAGAATCTTATTATTAAGACTAGTAATAAATATATATTTATTACAAAAATTAAATATAATTTTTTTTAATTTAAGCTATTTTTTTATCTAATTTAATAATTTTATAATATATATTTAAAATATTAAAGAATAAGAAATTAATAATGAAAAATAATAATAAAAAGTAAAATAATATTTTATAATAATAAAAAGAAAGAATTAATTTTAGTAAAAACTTCTATAATTATAAATAATTATTTAAAATTGATAATTAAAAAAAATAATAATAAATAAAAAAATATTATTAATAAACGAATTTTAAGTAATTAATAGAAATAATTAAAAATATAAATTAAAAAAAAGAAATATAAAATTATTAAATATATAATAATATTAATATTAATATTAATATTAATAAATAAAGTATAATTTTTTAATATTATTTATTTTAATTTATTATAAAAGATTCTAGTAAATTTATAAATATAACTTAAAATAAATATTTAAAGTATCTATTTTTTCATATTTTTAATATAATTATAAAAAAATATATCAGATAATTTTGAAATAAAGTAAATAATAATTGTATTTAAAATTATTTTTTTATAACTAATTCTTATATTTTTATATATTATAAATATTATAATTAAATATATATTATATATAATATTATATTATAATTATATTTATTATAAGTAATATTTTAAAAAGTAATTAAATAATATTAATTTTAATATTACTTTAATTATATAAAATAAATAGAAATATTAATATAATATAAAATTTTAAATATTTTAGTTATAATATAATTATTTTTTATATTAATAAAGAAGCATATATTAGAATTTTAATAATTATAAATATTATAAATATATAAAGTAAAAAGATATTATAAATATTTATTAATATTATATATTAA